GCAAGCTTTGATAGCCTGTGGGGAGCGCGGCCCTGCTCTCCTGGACCCCTGGCCTTGGGCCGCCCCGAGAACGCCCAGCTATCCCACGTTAGTTCAGCCAGGCTTGCTGCGACACCCGCCACGTGCCAGGCACTGGCCTAGGCACTGGGGAGGGACATAACCAATTCCATCCTGACCCCCGAGGGCTCACGGTCTGAGGGGGAAATGGCCCTTGGTAAAGAGAAGTGAACGTAAAAATCAGCAGAGGCCTCTGGGAGGAGGCAAAAGCTGGACTGAGCCTCGGAGGTGACCAGCTGGAGTGGAGAATGAGGAGGGGGCGGCCCGAGAAAGCTGCCAAGAAAGGGGGCTCGAGTCCCACGGGGGAAGGCCCGAAGGGAGCCTCTCATCCTAGAAGCATGAGGGGCTGGGGTGTGTGGGGGAGGGGAGAGGCCAGGAGGACCCCTGGATGGTGGGGCTCCGGGGGCTCTAAAAAGGCCTTATGTGGCAGGTGTCCTTGCCTTGAAGCTGTGTGTGTGCACGTGTGTGTGAGGTGGGTGTGTGAATGGGGGGGCCTGGAGAGCAATCCCCCTGCCCGCAGAAAGGGAACTGAGCCCCCCCTGGCTGGAAACAAATGGTTCCCAGAGCCCCCTGGCTCTGCTTCTGTCTCTCTCTGTCGCTGTCTCTCTTCCTCAGTCTCTTATTTCTGTCTCTGTCTTCCTCTTTGTCTGTGTCTCTCTGTCTCTATTTCTGTCTCTCTGTCTCTGTCTCTGTCTCTCCTCTCTCTGTCTCTCTGTCTCTGTCTCTCCCTCTGTCTCTGTCTCTCTGTCTCTATCTCTCTCTCTGTCTCTGTCTCTCCCTCTGTCTCTGTCTCTCTGTCTCTCCCTCTCTGTCCCTCTCTGTCTCTCCCTCTCTGTCTCTCTCTGTCTCTCCCTCTTTGTCTCTGTCTCCCTGTCTCTCCCTCTGTCTCTGTCTCTGTCTCTCCCTCTCCGTCTCTGTCTCTCTGCCTCTCTCTCTGTCTTTCTGTGTCTCTGTCTCTGTCTCTCTGCCGGTCTCTGTCTCTCTCTCTGTCTCTGTCTCTCCCTCTGTCTCTGTCTCTCCCTCTCTGTCTCTCTCTGTCTCTCCCTCTTTGTCTCTGTCTCCCTGTCTCTCCCTCTGTCTCTGTCTCTGTCTCTCCCTCTCCCTCTCCGTCTCTGTCTCTCTGCCTCTCTCTCTGTCTCTATGTCTCTGTCTCTGTCTCTCTGCCGGTCTCTGTCTCTCTCTCTGTCCATCTCTCCCTCATCTTTCCTCCCTCTGTGTCCCTGCCTCCCTCCCCTCCCCCACAGCCCCCTCCCTTACTCAGGGAGGCCTGAGCTGTTCTCTCTCTCTCCATCTTAATTAGCTCCTTGTATTAATCTCCCAAGTAACGTGGTAACTCGCAGCCCTGGGTTTTCAGCCGTGGAATTAATTACTCCCAGTGCGAGGATCTGTCAGCTCCGAGAGACCAGGCCTGGCTTGGAGGCCCCCGATGGCCCGGCAGCCCCCTCCCCCTTCCCCGCCAGCATCCTCCCCAGCCCCTCCCCCATCGGCCCCGCCTTTGGAAGGTGCAGCCCTTAGAGCATATGCAGTAAAAACGTGGGTCATAGGTGCAGAGTGTCCACTTAGGAAGTCCTGTAGAGATCAGCTGCCCAGGCCCCATGCTACAGAATGGGAGACCGAGGCTCAGGATTATTCCTTTACTTCCTCTGCGTTCGAGCCAAGTGCTCCCACTTACTGTTCCCCAAATGTGGCGTTCAATTTCCCATCTCCATGCCTTTGCCCAAGCAGTGCCTCATGCCTGGTGTGCCCTCCCTAAGCACCTCGACCCCGTGCAGTGTCTGGCTCCCGTGTACCCCTCCAGGCCTTTCCTGCTCCCCCTAATTCTTGGGGTTTTGTCTCTCACATGATCTTTGCTTCTCTTTGGACTCGCCACCTCACCCGAAGGACCGGAAGCTCCTGGAAGGCAGAGTCTCTACTGCAGTGACTGGCACACAGCAGGCACTCAGTAAGTGCTGGTGCCCACGGAAGAAGGATCCGCCTTGCGCCGTGGCCCCAGCATGCTGAGCTAGGAGCAGCCGGGCGTGGCCGAGAGGCAGATCGGAGCTCCGTGTCGTGATGAGGGGCATGGGCTGCGCCGGGTCGGGGACAGGTGAGGTAGTGAGCTGCCCATCCTTCGAGGTCTCCAAGCTTAGGCACCTTGTAGTGGGTGTGGGTTGGCCCGGCCGGCAGCTGAGGTCCCCACCCCCACCCCACCGGGCAGCCTGCCAAATTGGGTGATTCCGTGAAGGCCGGAGGGCCTCCTCCAGAGGCTGCAGGTTTCCCACCCGTAAAAGGAGGGGGCGGGGAGGCGGCCCTCCCCCTCCTCCCCCGGTGGGAACCTCTGGGAGCCTCCTTATCCGGCCGCCCATCAGGCTGCCCGGCGGGGTCCTTTGGGTCTCCGTGCCTGCCTGGCTGGCAGCCTGCTGGGGGGGCTGGCTGAGCTCAGACTCTCCCTCTGATCTTTATCGGCCGTTAGCGTTAGCGCCCACCTGAGGCCGCTCTGAACTCCAGACCCAGCAGGAGCTCCGGGGCGCCGACCCCTCACCCGGGCCAGCCCGGGGCTGCTTGGGGGGCCCTCCTGCCCCAGGGACGCGGGCTGGGAGCTCGGGGATGCCGAGGATGCCAGGCCTGGAGCTGGGGGGCCCCAGAGCCTGGGCCGCCCCCCGGGAGCTGGGGAGGCCTGCGCAGACAGACAGCCTCAATTCATCTGGCCATTCGGGCAGGAGAAGGAAGGGGCAGCCGATTAGGCGCGTCAGGGAGATTGGCAGGTCTCGCTCTGGAAACTGAAGGTCTCTCAGCTCCGGCTCAGCCTGCCAGCCGGGTGGGCGATTGGATTCAGAGATGGGAGGAGGGGGGAGAGCTGAAGGAAAGGGGATGAGTGGAGGATTGGGGGTGGCCCACTTGGACATTGCTTTCATGGGGAATCACCTCCCTGGCTTCCGAGACCCCCAAAATGTAGCCGTGTCTGGGGGGATGGTTTCCCTCGAATGGGTCACGTTCAGGGTGCCAGGGCACTGACTCTGCAGGAGTTCAGGCTGCCATTGCGACCTCCCCATCCCCTCAGAAGTCTGCCCCCAGCAGAGATAGGGGCAGTGGGTGTCTGCCATACTGGCATCTCTGCCCACCCAGCGCCCGGTCTTTATCCAGCCAAGAAAACCCCATCCTGGGTTTCAGGAAAGGACGTATCAGGGGCAGCTAGGTGGTACAGTGGATAAAGCACTGTCCTGGAGTCAGGAGAACCTGAGTTCAAATCCAGCCTTAGACACATAACACTCACTAGCTGTGTGACCCTGGGCAAGTCACTTAACCCCAACTGCCTCACCCAAGAAAAAAAAAAAGAGGAAAAGAAAAGGATGTATCCAGAACACTCAGCATTAGGGTGCAGTCATTTAATGGAAGGAGCAGAGAAAGTTTACATGGGTCCCTGGGCCCCAAGATCCTCTGGGGGCCTGAGGAGCTTATCCACGGAGGATGTCGGGGGAGGTCCAAGCCCCATGGTCCATCCTGTTGTGTTCCTGGGCCACCTCCGATAACCTGGTCAGGCCGGGAGGAGCACCCCGGCTCGAGCTGCATGCCCCCACCTTCACTCCATATTAACAGTCTGCGTCTAGCCCATGCAACGACCGTGAAATCCCCCTTCCCTCTGTGTCCTGGACGGATCAGGAGGTTTTGTTAGTGCTGGGAAACAATCTATGCATCGGCTATAGGCCAGGGTATGATGGGATGGGGGAACCAGGTACGTCATGGACAATAGGGTACAAAGGGGGCGATGCCAACCACATTGCCCATCATTCCACACCTGGCACAGTGCCATCATCCGTTCCTGATGTGTATATGTGTATGTGCATGTATGTGTGCACATGTACATGTGTGTGTCTGTGCCTAACCCAAGCCTAAGCCAGATGCCCCCTCCTCCAGGAAGCCTCCCTGAGCTTTCCAGCCAGCCTTCTCCTCCTCCATCAGGCAGAACTTCATTTTATCGCCCTCCGATGCATCATCATCATGTGAAATTATATATTATTGTTGTCAGGGCAGGCCTCTTATCTCCCACTAGACTGTGAGCTTTCTGAAGACAGGGGCCAGGCATGGTCTAAACTCTCTCCAGCTCTGCATGCAGTGGCTGCTGAATAAACGTGTGTCGTGCTGTATTTTCTAGACTGAGTGTCGTGTTGCATTGCGTTACCTGAACTCTTAACCAGACCTTTGATGCCAGGCAGATTTGATGGCGGTTGGGGAGGGACACTTGGCTCCAGCTGGGTTCAGGGCCCTGGGAAGAGGCGAAGGGGGCAGTGGGCAGAACTCAGCCTGCAGCCGTGGCAGGCAGTGCCAGGGTGGGGGGCCCAGGAGACAGGAAACTCCTGGGAGAAGGCAGGGGAGTGGCAGTGAGGGAGAAGAGGGCCGGCAGGCTGGGAGCCTCACAAGGCAGAGCTTGGGAAGGACCCCACGGTCTGAGTCCCTAGGCTGTGTGGTTAATGTGCCCCCGGGGTCCTCACTGCCCCCGCCTCGGTTTGACTTGGGTCTAGGCAGGGGTGGGGAACCTGCAGCCTGGAGGCCACGCGGCCCTCCAGGTCCTCAAGTGCGGCCCTTTGACTGAATCCACACTTCACAGAACAAATCCCCTACTAAAAGGGTTTGTTCTATAAAACTTGGCCACACCCAAGGACCTGGAAGGCCGCAGCCTCCCACCCCCGGCTGGGTGCAGGAGTGAACTCTCTGGGCCTTCTCCTCCTGGCCCGTCCTGCCGTCGTCCCTAGCTGGCCACGTCCCTTCGCCCAGGAGCCCTCGTCCTTGGCCAGCCGGGACGTCGGACTCAGGTCTCCGCAGCCTGCTGGCTCCTCCTTCGCCACCTGGCGCCTCTTGTGCCCAAGGACCCTGGGCCTGGCGTGTCTGCCCGGCTGGACTCCCCGCGGGAGGGGGCCGGCCCGCGGTCCGATGCCTCTCACTGACCTCGTGTCCTTCTCTTTCAGCTAACAGCTCCCTGCTCGGAGGCGGCGGCGGTGAGTGTGACCTTGCTTTGTTTCTGGGGCTCCCTGGGGTCCCCTCCTCCACCCGTGCCTGGCCCGTCCTCGGTGGTTGGCTTGTCTCACTCCCCTGCCCCTGTTTTTCCTCTCTTCCTCCCCTGTTTGAGGACCAGTTGAGAGACTGAAAAGAGACACTTGGGTGTTGGGGATGCTTGGGGGGATGGGAGGAGCCTTCAGGTGTCCAAAGGTTCTTCCCATGAAGGAAGGGTCAGACTTGTTCTGGGGACCGCAGAGGGGAGTGTGGTAGAGAAGCAGATTTCAGCCCCCCAAAATCCCCAACAAGGGTAGTTGGGAGAGGCTGCCTCAGTAGGTAGTGAGCTCCCCATCCTTGGGGGTATCCAAGCTAATGCTGTCTGGGATTGCTGGTGCCATGGTGGATCTCAGAGCACCGGCCGTGGACTACAGAAGTCCTGAGTTCTGATCCAGATCCAGAACCCCACTAGCTGGGTGACCCTGGGAAGTCACTTGACTGTCTGGTTCATCAGTTTCCTCATTAATAAAATGGGGATAATAATACCACCTCCCTCCCAGGGTTGTTGTGAGCGTGAAATCAGCTAATGTATGTGAAGTGTTTCGCACACAGTAGGTGCTTAATAAATGCACGTTCCCTTCCTCCAAGCATTTTGTAAACCAGACCCTGAAGTGTTCCAAGAATGCTCGCTAGTATTACTCTGGAGGCCGCCAGGGCGTAGTGCCCCTGGAAGACCTGGGGTTCAGGTCCTACCCTGCCCTCGGGCAAGTGCTCTAGGGGCCCATCTGCAGACAGGCAGTTCCCTGGACCAATGTAAGCGCAGGTCCAGCGGCTCTTAGTAACTCTCCTTTGGCCTCTGGGGTCCTTCCCCTTTGGGATCCCTCTGCCTCCGTCCACGTCCGTCCACCCTTCTCTCACTGCCCCTTCCTCTCTCGGCGTCTCCGCTGCCCCGCCCCCATCAGCCCCTGCTGTGTGCACAGACCCGGACAGGCCGCTTTCACAAACAAGGAGACTGAGGCTCAGGCCTGGGAGCCGGCTAGTCCAAGGTCACCCATCGACTTTGCTCCAAATCCCTCACGCTGCCCCCCACACACTGCCCCCACCACACGCTGCCCCCCCTCCCGCTGCCCCCCCACACGCTGCCCCCACCACACGCTGCTCACTGTCCTCTCCCGGGTCGTCCGGGTGTGTTTCCCTCGAGGTTTGGGCTGGAGGACATTCCAGGCTCGACCCCAGTCTAGGCCAGCCGAGGCATCTGGGCCTTTCTTGCAGCCTAGGGCAGAGGCGCTCAGGCCGAGGAGTCTGAAAGATTGTGGCCCCAGCAGGCTCCCTGAGGGGTCCCGGGTGATGGGTTCAGGTGGGGCGAGAGCGTGGCTGATGCCGAGATGCCCTGGTCTGGTCCCACCCCAGAAGTGTCTGACCGGGGCAGGAGGGGAGGAATCTGAGTCTGCCTGGGCCTGGGGGCCCAGTTATAGGCTAGGAGTGTCATGCCTCCCTGCCCAGGCCCTGGTGCCCACTGCCTCCCCGGGCCCGCTCCTGCTGAAGGGCCGGGCCGCCCCAGCCTCCCTCCAGGCTCCGGTGGTAGTGCGCAGAAATGATTGGTGAGCCAGGGAGCGGAGGTTAATGGGCTGGAGGATAAATCCCGGGGGCCGTGTTTACCGCAGGCGGCCAGCACGGGGCCGTGGCCAGGTTTTAAAAGGGGGAAAAATAAAAGGGTCATGGGTCAGGAATAAATAAGAGGCGCATTGAGAGATGTCCGCGATGGGGAGCGGGAGGGCCTGTTTGTTCCTGTTTTCCCTTCCTTTCCCAACCATGCCACCCGCACCCGCCAATCCTTCAGTCCTGCGGTGAGGTGTGGAGGACGTTCCGGGCTGGGCACACCGCGTGGACGTGGGAGCCCCGGGCGGGTGCTGGCTCTGCCGTCCTGGGGCCTGGCGCGTGAGTGTTTAAATGGAATCAACAGTGTTAGGCGACATCGGCAGAGTGGTTCCCTGGTCATTGTCTCTGGTGAGCCTCCTCCTCCTGGTTTTGCAGGTGAGGAAACTGAGGCTCAGAGGAGTTGGGGCACTTGCCCAGCCAGCTAGTAAGGGTCAGAGGCTAGATTCAAACTCAGGTCTCAGATCCAACACCCTCTCCCCTGCCGTGCCAGCGCACTCCCTCATTCATTCATGAAATCACTTGTTCGGCATGCATTTACCAAGTCCTAACTGTGGGCCGGGTCAGAAATAGCCAGGGGACGTCGACAGGAAGGCCTGCGTTCCAGGCCTGCCGCTGACCCTGGGTAAGTCACTGACTTCTCTAAACAACCTGTATTAGTAGAAGATGTTTCTCCATCTGGGAGTTCCTTTTCGGGTGAATCCGGGGTCCAGTCCCCGTCCCTGCCCCCCAGGCACAGTGACAGAGACAGAACAGAAACCCTCCCTGCCCTCCAGGAGGTCCTAGGATTAGAGCAGGGCGGAACCCTGGAATCTGCTAGGACGGCCCTGCTAGGGACCCACAGGTCAGAAGGGACAGAGTCCATATCTGAACCTGGATCTTCTGGCTTCAAGCCAGGTGTGGTTTTCTAAGTTCAAGTGTAAGCCTGAGCCCCAGAACCCGCCAAAACGAGGGCAGAACGAATGCCCCGTGGGTCGGGGAGCTGTGGCTGCCACACTAGCCACATCCGCTCCATAACCAGGACCACTTGGCTCTGAGGACCCAGCCTGCAGGCCGGGAGAGGCCGGAGGAAGACTTCCGCATAGGGAGGGAGGAGAAGAAACGGGCTGAGGGGAGGGTCACCCTCGCTGGGGACCGAGGAGGTCCCAAGTCCAAGGCTTCGCACCAGATAAGCAATCCGCCTGAGCCCTTATCTGCCAGTGGGGCGTGGGAAGGACGTGTGTGGCCCAGTGTCTGACATCTTTGTGATAATCCAAGGCTTGCCAAATCCTCATTGGAGCCCCACGGTATCTTTGTGAGTTCTGGGGACGTTATTTTCTCCACTTTACAGATGGGGAAACTGAGGCTGGGCACGATTAAGTGACATGCCCAGTGTCCCTTATCTGGTAAGATTCTGAGGCTGGATTTGAGTTAGTCTCCCTGACTCCCAACCTTGTGCTCTAGACAAATTATTGGCGTTCCTGGGATTGTAGCCCCCATCCCAAGGGCTGGAAGGGCCCCCAGAGGCCAGGAAGTCTACCCCCTTCCTTTGACAGTTGGGGGAGCAGAGACTCCCATAGAGGAAGGAGGGGAGAGCAGGATCTAAGGCCAGACCGTCTGACCCCAGGGGAATGGCAACCCCCGAGGGCAGGCACAGGGTTTTTGCCTTTCTTTCTATCCCCAGCACTTTGCACAGTGCCTGGCACGTGGGAGTCGCTCACTAAAGGCTTGTTGACCGCCTATTTGACTGATGCCAAGGCCAGTGTTTTCTTCTAGACTCTGGTATATGTCCCAGGCCAGTTTTTTCATCTGTTCCCCAAGATGGGGAGGAGAATGGGGTAAGAGGGAGGACCAGAGGCGTGAACAGCCCAGGATAGCCCCTGCCCGGCTGACGGTGCCTGGCACATTTGCCGTGAAGGAGAAGGGGGTTGTCAGGGTCAGAGGGCCCTTTCGATAGGCTCAAGAGAAGCCCGCTCCCCTCGCAGGCTCCCAGGCAGGGGTGTGGATGGAGCAAGGTGCCCCCCACCCAGCCGTGTAGCTGCAGTGGCCAGGGGGATGATGGAGCCAGCCCTCCCTGGCTGTAATGAAGAGGGGGGCTGGGGAGGGGCAGGTGTTTACAGAAGCTGTGGGCTCCTGACAGAGATGGATGGGCCCGTGCTGCAGGAAGACGGCGCTAGGAGGAAGTGGGCCCAGGTCCGGCTTTTTAATGCCAGCGCGAGATTTATGGAGCCGGTGGGGGCAGGTCAGAGAGGGGCTGTTAGTCTGTAAATGGGATTGCAGAACAAGGTGGAAGGAGAGTAGCCAGCGGAGGGGTGTTGGGCGGCCGTCGCTGCAGACGGGAGCAGGGAACCAGGCGGCGAACCGAGGGACAGAGAGACGGGTGTGCCCACATACCCCAGGAGCCCTAAGCGGGCACCCCTAAGGCTGAGGGCACCCCTCTCTCCCCAGGACCCCGTGTCTGCCTGTAAATGCAAAGTCACGCCCACATAGTGCCCTGCAGGAGATGGGGCATGGGGTAGAGAAGGACACTACTGATAACAGCTCAGATGCCACCTCCTCCAAGGAGCCTTCTCTGATGCCTCCCTTCGCATCAGGATCTACAGCATTAGATTGCATAGGAGAGCGCTCCCTCGCTCTCTCGCTCTCTCTGCTTGTACCCCGCTAGATGGTGAGCTCCATGAGGGCAGGGACCCTCTCCTCTAAACTTTGCCTCTCTTCTGGTGCCCAGTGAAAGGCTCTGCCCACAACACACACGTTTGCTGAAGGGATGCATGAATGAGAGACGGGGTCAGCAATCTGCAAGACTGACTTTGTGGCCCTTCTCTCCTCGAGGCCTGGCTCTCTTCTCTGGTCCCCAGGAGTCACCACCCACTTAGGAAGCTCACCTTCCAAGAAACACCCTCCTGGGGCTTGAACCCAGAGTCCTAGCATAGGCCTTTGTATGGGAGCTGGGGGGTCGGTATTGTGGAGAAAACTGAGCTTGGAGTGAGGAAGACGAGGGCTCAGATCCCCCTTCTGCCTCTTACTTCGGCTACCACTGCTGTGACTGTCGTTATGATTACTACTGCTACGGCTGCTGTGCTGCTACTACCGCTATGATTACTACTCCTGCTATTACTACTACTACTACCGCTATGATTACTACTCCTGCTGCTATAATTACTACTACTGCTATTACTATTGCTAAGATTACTACTACTTCTGCTGTTGTGCTGCTACTACTGCTATGATTAC